TAGGGGGCATTGTTATCTTTATAAATTGAATAGAAAAATGAATTGGCATTTATTTACCTTTCCTTCAGTAAATTTAAATTTTTCACAGTTAACTTAAATTCTTACAATCAATTTAAATTCTACATTTAATTTAAATACTTCAGAACTAATAGTGATTTTCCCTTTGTCTGAGCACAAATTGAAGAGCATGGGAAGGCCATCTAGAAATATGCCCAGTAACAGACGGAAATCAAACCGAGATTGAATACGTGATAAAACTGAACCTCCAATAGAAAATCATTTGATTATGTCAATTACACCCAAGATTTACAGCTTGCCAAAAGCTTACAAAGACTTTCTTAATCATACTAGCCTGTGGGGAGTATCAGTAGTACTTGTTATCTGTCCATTTTCTTTTAGTACTAAATTACATAAATATTTCAGAATTTTTATCTGAAAATGATATCCCCTAAATAACATTATAAGCAAAGAGAAGGGCAATACCACATAAAATTGCCAACCTTTCCTCTGCATTGAACAGTGTATGAAAGAAAGGTATAAATGAAAGTTCCATAAACTTTATAAGGTGAATTCTCATATATTTACATGGTGATTTTTTTCAGGAGTGCCTCTTATTATTTCACCTCATAAAAATTTTGGGGGTGCTGAATTATGTCTAGCTCAAGGCTGTCCAGAAAGAAATATGAAGGGATTATCTCTGCCTAATATCCTAACTGAAACAAATGGAAATCACAAACTTTCTAGTCCGTCCCCTAAGTACTTCCAACGTGCTACTTAGGCAACAATTGGGATGAAGCCAAACTTTCTAACCAAATCCTTGACTAGAAAAATATACTGCATTTAGCAAATTATCCTCTGTAGGAAATCACTGTTCTCTAGTTACCAGGGTATGAACTATAAGTCAGTGTTCTTAGTTCTGAGAATGTTTATTGCTTATTATCTTATGCCTTTTTGTTATTTTGGTGGATTACTTATCAATCACGTTTTTCTATAATAAAACTTTCCCCTTCCATTTTTCAAAAGGGAACAAACTACAACATATACTGCTGCTGATTTTTCTAAGTAGCACATAGATGAAAATGATAATAAAGGATGGAATATGACTGAAAAAAACTTTTTTCTATCTGGAAAGGTCATTATTATCTTTCATTAGTCTGCAATATTAGAGGAGATGCAGATAGCATGGTAAGAGGGGAAGAGGATACTAAGAGGATATTCAGGAAACCAACAGGTCAACTCCTCTAGAAATTAATGATGCCAGGTGTCACAGCCAATCTTCTCTCACACGCATTTGTCTTAATATTTGTACCTGCCAACACGTCCCTAGATGTACCACTTGTAAATTTGTCAGCCTTTAACCATTGTTAGAGAAACAGTTTTCTGTCTTTTTTTAAGGCAGGGTATTGTTGAAAGTTAAAACATTTTAAAGAGATGAAAGAGATGAAAAATTTTTCTATTTTCTTTTATATGTACTATCTCACACACAAGGATTATATGGGAGACATTTTATGTTCACTTTACAAATGAAGAAACAGGTTCAAGGAGGTAAGACAATGGTCACAAATCCTAGAATTAGAAAAATACATCAAACTCTAGAGAGTTTATCCTTTCTATCACTATTTACTAGTGGCATTGTCCTTCCATTGTTCATCGATTTGCTCGAGCAGGCACCAGTAACATCTCCATTGTGAGACTTGTTGTTACTGTTTTTGGCATATATACGACTACAGATAACAAATGTTACTAAAAATAATTTATTGACTTAAAATATTTGGAAGAAATGCTCACTTAGGAAGCAATAAGAGAATTTAGTCCCAACTTTTTCAACTCAGACTTCACCCCTTTTGGAATCTAGTCCAATTTTTATGATAGCCAGGAAAGCAAGCTTCTAAACATTATTTGGAACAAATGGCAATATATAATTTGAATGATACTGAAAATGATTTCCAGCTCATAATTTCTAAGCACCTAAATCATGAAAGGTGATAAATATTAAGTATGTTTTTTTCATTTTATCTGCTTCCTTGCAAATGCTGAAAAAAAGAAAAGTCACTGGGAGAAAGGTAATTTCATTTTTCTACATATTTCTAAATATCTGATTTATTTTAAGTGCAAGTAAAATAATTTAAAAATATATGCTCTATAATAGAACAAGGATGATATTAAACTTTACATATATATGTGTCTGTTTGCGAGGCTTACTGCAGTACTTGGCAGTGTTCACGGGCAACTCCTCTATGTTCAGGGATCACTCCTGGCCCTGAACTGGATCAAAGAAAGTCATATGTGGCACAGGGGTGTGAACTGGAGTCAGACACATGAAAACCTAGCACCTTAAACCTCATACAATCTCTCTGGATTCTTCCTGTGATATTTTATTAATTGATTAATTTATTTAGAGATTTAGAGAAACACCTGGCAGTCCTCATGGATCACTCCTGGCAGTGCTCAGGGGGACCATATGTGATCGGTGTTGGCTAGATGCAAAACAAGCGCCTTAACCCCTATAGTATCCCTTTGACCCCAAACTCCATTTTAATCAAATCTGTGCATTTATATATAGAAGAAAAACATATTCTTAGAAGCAACACAGAATACTGAAGAGAGTTCTGGTCCTAAAGTAAATACTAACATAGGACAGGATCAATTAGAAAATTCTGCTGCATCGCAATTGCTGAAAAATGACAGATGCTGACTTCTTCATTCTACCTGCAGGAAAGCAGCCTCATCCTTGAAAAGTTTGAGCTCATGTGGATAAGTCAGATCAAAATCACATCTCTTTACTTTTGGACCAGAACTCTCTTCAGTATTCTGTGTTGCTTCTAAGAATATGTTTTTCTTCTATATACTCTGGGTAGCTTGCTGGGCTCTTTGAAAGGGGCGGAGGAATCAAACCCAGGCCGCGTGCAAGGCAAACACTCTATTCACTGTGCTATATGTGAATCAACATAGAAAAAAGTCAAAGGTGTAGTTAGAAAGAAAATCCATATTATCAAGAATAAAGAAGGAGTAAAAGTGAGGGCTAAGAAAGATTAAAAAGAGAAGAACTAGAGTTGTTGAAGAATAATTTGGAGGCAGCTTAACAAAGGGATCAGAAGCTATAAAGATTATTAAGAATTTGTAGAAATACTTGAAATGAGAACATGTGAAGGTGTAAACTTCAAAATTGTGGTAGTAGGATGGAGAAGAAATAGCCTTGATTAGGAGTGTATAGAAAATGGGAAATTGGCATAACTCTGAAATTTCTGACTGGGCTGATTGTGTATTATCCTATATGACAAAAACGAAGAAAGATAAAATGATTTTCAGGTATAAACAAATTTAGTTTTGACATATTGAATTGTATTTGCTAATGGAACATCTAAGTGGTGATGTGCAGAAGGAAGCTAGACAGATGAAGTGCATTGAATATGCTGTAAACTGTTCAAGTAGGAAAAACATTACTGAAAAATTAACCCTTAATCAATGACTGAGTAAATAGCAGTGCTCCTACATTTCTGTCAGAGCGATAGCACAGCGGGTAGGGCAGTTGCCTCGCACACGGCCAACCAGGGTTCGATTCCTTCGTCCCTCTTGGAGAAGCTGGCAAGCTACAGAGAGTATCCCGCCTCCACGGCAGAGCCTGGCAAGCTCCCCATGGAGTATTCGATATGCCAAAAACAGAAAAAAAGTCTCACAATGGAGACGTTACTGGTGCCCACTTGGGCAAATCGATGAACAATGGGAGGACAGTGTTACAGGACAGTGCTACAGTGCTACTCCTACATTTAAAAATATAAATAAAAATTAACTCTTCGAAAGCCATTAAGAAAATTAACATAAATGGTTTTTTAAGTAGTATTTTAGGGGTTTCAAAAAGACATACCATATTTTTTAACATTCTATTCATTTGGGGTACTATAATTTTGTTTTGTTTTGGGGGCCTCAACTGAAAGGATTCAGGGCTTATTCCTGGCTCTGCATTCAGGGGGACCATATGTATGCTGGGGATCAAACCCAGGTTGAACTTGTGCAATGCTAGAGCCCTATCAGCTGTAATATTTCATCAGCCCCTGTATCTGCCTGTTTAAACAAAATTATTTAACTACCTCTAGCATCATTTCTATGTGTGTTCTCCTTGACTGTAGCTTCTGTTTCACATTCATGTGATTGTCATCTGTACTGGATTAAAAAGAGCTACTAAGTAGCTGGAGACAGAGGAAGGTACTCTGGAACCCTTCTTCCACCCAACCTCACTGCCTATCATATTTTTTTATAAGCATTCTTACTTCCAGCTGCCATTGGGCCATCAAGCTTAAATCAAATGTCCTCTGGCTCAAGGTCCTGTGATGAAAAATTTATGGAGTCCTGGACATATTACAAGTTTTACAGCTTTACAGTTGAAATCCTTCATGTCCTCCTGACCTACTGAGGAAAAATATACTTTATTTTATTTTGATTCCCAAATGTTCTTCTATTGTGTACATTTTTTCCCTACAAAACGTGTATGCTACTTCCAGCAATGTGTTTTATATTACCTTGAAGAATAGGGCAGCTCTGATAGTAGGAAACATCTTAGTCTTGTTGCTAGTACAAGAGAAAACTGAACTTGTAATTGGAAGCATGACCAAAACTATGGATCATTAGTTTATCATTCCCTTTGACTAAAGACACCTATATGAGTCAATGGCTGTATTTTGTTCTTAAAACAGTTTATATTCCCCAAGCACTGATAAGTGGACTTTTTGAGTGGGGTATACAGTATGTCTACAAATACACATAATATATGTGCATTATATAAATATTCACAGAAGGATTTTCCTAGACCTTAAGAATGTTTTATGTTCTTACAAAGTCCAGGATATAGTTCAACACCCTTGAATTAAACATTTTCTGAATAACAGACTTTCTAAATCTATGTCAAACTTAACATTCCTCTCTCTTCAGGTTATAAATAATATCAGTTTGGATGTAGCTTGAAAGAAAGGGGGAACATTTTTTTTCAATCCATATGGGCTTACCTTGACAATGAAATCTGCTGTGAGTGGTCCAGTCATTCTCAGTATCTCTTTGTCTGGAAATTTCTGGAACTCCACACTAGAATTGTCCACAAGAAAAGTGCCCGTGGAACTGAGACTGTTTTCACCCTTAGCCCCCTGGAGGGTTTTGGTTTCCAGATCTACATAATCAAACACATGAAGAGCAGAGAAAGATATTCCCAGGGCTACAACAGACCACTTACAAGCACATTTCATGCAACAAAATCTAGAGCTATGTAAGGGAGAAGCATCATTCTTTACATGACTGACATAAACAAATACAAACACTCCTGGATCACAGAGATGTTTCAGGAACAGATAAAAGTGTTTCAAAGCTTGGCTAATGAGTTTTAAAATAATTGCATCTGAAAATATCATCAAAAAACTTACAACTTAGGTGATATAATCTGGGAACTCCAAGAACTCTATTCTGACTAAAATATCTTGCATGCATATCTTATCATCCTCAATGAAGAAGAGTGATTTTCAACCCTTTCACATCTACAGATGGGTACCAGTGGCTGAAAACTATAGGTTTAGACTATTCAGTTTTTATTTTATTCTCTGAGAATCAGGAGATCATTTCTGAGTTTTCTTAGCATTATTATGATTTTTACATTAACTTTGCATTTATGTATTACCTGCTCTTTATTCATACTATCTGGTTACTTAGTGAACATTTGCTAGTATTCAAATGTAGAAAGTATAGTTATTTAAAGACAGAATAATTCCGCTTTTTAGTTCTCATATTAAAAGACTTTTCTAGTTCTAAATTCGGTATCGTGCACACATATTATATTTCTGCTTTGTTTTATTGTCAGATCTAAAGGTGTTCAGAGGTTATTGCTGACTGTACTTAGGAGTGACGCTTGGTGAAGGAACCATATGTGGAACCGAAGATTCAAATAAGGATCAGTGGGATGAAAGTCAAATGCTTAATCCCCATCATATCTCTCTGGCCCCAAATTTTATTTTGTACTTGCTTAAAACATAAAGAACTTCTTGATTCCCAAAGAATTCCATTCTATATTTGGCCAATGACAATATTTTTGGAGTCCTTTTGTTGTAGGAAATCTGGGAATCCTGCAGATGGGGGTAAGTTGGGTGTGTATTTCAGAGAAGATTAAATCTCATGCAAGCCAGAGTTAATGGAGATTTATTTCTCTTTTCATGAAGGGAGCTAGATCGAGTAACAACAATTTCCAAAACATTCATAAGAACCGTTGGTTTGGGCAGCAGCTTTTTCAGCTGAAAAAAATGGAGTGCTTTGGTAGAACTCAGTCTTCTACCTTAAACTTAGTCACAATAACTTCCTTCTTACATGGTTATTTGTATGTGGGAGGGGGCAGGTATTGAACCAGAGCTTCATGCATGTGAGGCATGCACTATACTGCTGAATGACAACCCCATATTTTACATTACAAAGACTTCACCTGAATGTCACAAATATATATATATATATATTACATAAATATATATAACACAGATACATATATAACATATACATGTTTTTATATATGTGTATACATATATATTATATATAGCTATAAAAATCTCATATCTTCTAAAGACTGGAATTCTAGAGTTAAGGGCATTTTTTAAAGGACTCTGGACATATGAAAGTACCTAAAATATTTTAACTAAATAATGCTACATGTTTCCTACTCCAAGTTAACTATAATAAGGAACACGGACAAGCAGAAAATACAGGTGCTCAAGTAGAAGCTTGAAATTCTCAGTTGAAGTCTGTGTAGTCCTTGCTTAGGGGAAGGTCAGGCTGTCTTTCCACACCTCAGTACAGTGAGGACCTCACAGAAGTATCTGACACATGGAAGGAATATTGGTCTGTGAGAGAACCACAGTTGTTATCATTCAAAGGACTAGATGTAAAGGGCTGAATCTTCTTACTCTAACCTTCCTTCTTTGAAATGCCTTACAGGCAATTACACTAATTTGTGGCAATATCTGTAGCACTGTAGCACTGTCCTCCCATTGTTCATCGATTTGCTCGAGCGGGCCCAGTAATGTCTCAATTGTGAGACTTGCTGTTACTGTGTTTGGCATATCAAATATGCCATGGGGAGCTTGCCAGGCTTTGCTGTGTGGGCGAGATACTCTAGGTAGCTTGCTGGGCTCTCTGTGAGGGGTGGAGGAATCGAACCCAGGTTGGCTGACCTGGCCACATACAAGGCAAACACCCTACCCGCTGTGCTATCGCTCCAGCCCATGGTAATATCTACAAGACATAAATTAGTTCTGGAAAAGTTCTGGTGCTTAAACTAATTGATCATCTTGTGCTCACTTTGGCAGCCCATACACTAAACTAATTGATCATCTGATTTGAAATTTATCCCTAGGTCTTCTAGCTCTCCTCTCAAAGTACTTCTGACTATAAAAATGAGTGAGGCCTAAACCAGATTGTCAGGTTATGTTCTGGGTTGCCTCAAAATACTAAGTTACAAAGTAGACCAGCTTCTGAGCAGGAAGGGAAAAGGACAGCAAGAGAAATAGTAAAATTTACTTACACACTAATTTTTCTAAATTATATTTTATATATAAAATCAAAACAAAAATTTTCTTAGTTACACATATGTTATCAATAGTAGGCCAGTTGCAAGAAATAGGCTGATTACAATTTGCAGTTTTATCTATCAAATCCTTGGCACAATTAAATGAAACAAGGTCAATTAAACCAAACGAGGCCAATTCTCCTGATTTAAAATGTTTGCACAATTAGGAATACCTCCCATAGTCTGAGAGGCAAAGGCATTTATCAAATAGAATTTTTCCTTTAATTATATTCCTTTGGGTTATATTTTCCTTCTACATAGAAGGTTCAGTCCTCCATTTAGTGAAAAATCTTTGCATTATATGTTTTATTTTAGCCTATCACTATGGAGAAAAATACTGTTCTTGAGAAGAGTTGTTACACCAGCAGTTACCTCTGTTCAATTGACAAGGGAAAAAACAAATCATGTGAATGGTAATAGTGTACCACATACATCATTGTCTGACATATGAATACTATTTTGGAGACATTTCAGGAATGGGAAAGAACTTTGATCCATATGAAGAGACTTGCCCACACTGCTTGACTCTGCCTAAACTATACCTTACTTCAAGCTTTACTACACATGACCTTTCAAATCCCACCTCTCCCATGAAATCTATTTTTATTTTTATGAAGACTCTAGTAGGCTATCTGAACTTTTATAGACTCCAATTTGTCTTCCTCTTGTTTGTCTTTCTAGGATGATTTCATTCACAATCCACTTGCCAAAAGATAATGCTTGCTACCTAAATTGGTTTCCTAGGCATGTGTGTGGGAGAGGAGAAAGTGCAGAAGATGATAGATGGCTCCTCAGGATCCCAGGAATAATCACAGTGGGGAAGATCGCAAACCCTCAAGGGACTAACTGAAGTGTAATCATCCAGTGAAATGGAATTTTACAGAGAAGACAAGCATATCCTCTCCTCTTGCCCATTGTTGATAGTCTATAATTTCATGCTAGTAATTTACAAGGCTACATAGAAACAGCACTAAATAGTGCTAGAAAAAGAAAACAATGTGGATATATACTATTGCCTTGACATGACTGAAGATAGATTTTTGCACAAAAAATGGTGCTGCCATGCTACCATTTGATCTTTGAGGCATAGGATACTCCTCAATTATGAATTCCAGTAGCTGTTTACAAGATATCAGAGTCTTGTATAATCTTAATACACAGGATATTTATTTAGAACATATGTAATTGCTCTAAATAAGTGTTAAGTAGTCTATTGTTTGTCTCCTGAATTGATAAAGTTAGAGAAAACAAGAGTGTGGGTGATGGGTAGAACAGAAGAAAGAGAGTAGGATTTAAAGAAGGAAGAAAGGCAGCTGGACAGACAGTAAAGTGCCTTGCACATGGCTAATCTCAGTTCTATTCTGGCACTGCTGATGGTCCTTGAGCATTGCCAGCAGTAGTCTCTGAACACAGAACTAGTAGCAAACCCTAAACATAGTCAGGTATAACCCCAAAACAAAAGATAAAGAGAGAAGTAAAAAAGGAGAGGTGAGGCAAGAAAATGATTGAGTGAAGAAGAGAGAAATGAGAAATTTATTTATAAAAGAAGAAACATGTTCTTAACTTATGAACAATCTATCACGAGCACCTATTTTGTATTTTTCTCAGATGGCTGTGGTGAGAGATAATTACTACAGAGGTTTCTGCTATCTCATGAGGCAACCCAAATATAAACAGAAGCATCCAAAATATCATGTTATGATAGAGTTGAAAGATTTGTACTTTAGTATTTTTAATCTCTTCTGAGAACAAAAGTAAATGATAATGACAATTCTCAAACCCTGAAGAAAAAAACAATTCAGTTTACTTACACAAGTGATCTGGTCCTTTTAAGACTAGGCGAATATGTCTACTTCCATAGGGAATAGCCACCACGGTATCTTCCACTAGAGAGAAACAAAATGAAGTCTTAAAAGCACATAATAATGAAATTACCCCACAAAACACAAAAATATTGAATGACTCCAATATACTGCCCTCTATGACAGTCTTTTAAAAAGTGTTTGAAATGTCATCCAAATGTTTGGGAATCAAAATTTCCCTTTACCCTCAGATAAAACATGCTTAAAAAATAATGCAATTATCAGTGAATTCAAGAAAGATTTTGCCTTTCAAATTATGCATTTTGATATGTTAAAAAATGAATTTACATTCTTTAATTTCTGATTTTAAAACTTTGTCCTATACCCCCAAATATCTGTGGATGAGAGTAAGCTGGATTATTAAAGGAAAATAAATTCTAATGTTCAAAAGATGACATACTAAAACCTGAAATTCTCTCTGGAAGAGTATCTTTGATGAGCAGGATAGATAAAGGAGGTGGAAATATATGTGTTTGTATTCTTTAAACCCTCAAGGACAGAAATCTTGCCTTGCAGTCCTTCAATATCCTGCACATTATTAACACCTAATACTAGTGAGTGTTCCCTAGATGGTTATATATATATATATTTCTTAACAATTGCCTTCTCTGTTTAAAAGAAAAAAAACCAGACTGCATTGCAGATCATTTAAAAATGGATTACTTCTCACAGTATTCTATAATTGAGATTAATTTCCATTGAAATTAATCTCAATTACAGTCACAAGAACTACAGTTTAATGAAATGAATGGTACATTACAGACATACCAAACATCACAAGCATTCTTATTTAGAATGTCATTTATGACCATAATCTTATATTTTATGGTACAGATGAATTTTATTTCCATCAACATTACGCTGCTTGCTTCTTCACACAAAACTTGTAATAAAAACAACAAAAAATGGTATATTCTCCATTCTGCATCAAAGCAAAACTTCTGATAAATATGAATAGCCTGAGATCAAAGGAAAAAGGGCATTCCAGAAAACAAGAAAAAATCAGGAATTAAAAAACACATTAACACATTCAAAATTTCTGTGAGTTTCTCTGTTTTTTACATTTTTTAGTATTATACATTATCTTATCTTGGAAGATTTAAATAATGAGAATCTCAAAGCAGGCAATTTCTCTGAACCTTAGATGATAAGTAATAAATCTCAGAATTTCCTCAACTTCTTTGATCCTAAATTTCCTTATTTTTTAAAACAAATAATATTTACTAACACTTCTTTAAATAGAGATATGAACTAATAATATAGATGTATAGTCTGAAATATAGGAGGTGTTTGGTAAATATTGCATTCTCCCTTTATTCTAAATCTACTTAAAGACAGGTATCGAAAGGGCATTTATTTTTTATTTTCCTTTTAAACACTTCAAGGCCCCTACCATATAGTCAGTTGAATGAATCACAAAGATCATATGCTCTCAATTCTTTCCCTTAAGAAATTTCATTTATCAAGTTCTTCGCAATATTGAATATTCTACTCATGCCACGACCTTCAGGCTGCTTTTAATGTTATACATCCTTGAAGAAATGGCTGAATTTTAGAGAGCTCAGAGTTTGTGACATATATCACAACACATCATAAAAATATAGAAAGGAAACCAAAAAAATTTAGATTGATCTCACCAAAGCTTTAAATGCACTGCATAAGAAGATGGATTTTTAAGTTTACAAAAGAAATTCAAAGCAGCTAACATAATGGGATTTCTCAAAATAGAAAGTCTTTGTTTATCCACAGGTCAAGTAAAGTGCAAGTAAAAGGGAAGCTTTCTGTTTGGTCCTGCAATGCTTTGTGGCAGTTTTCTGACCCACACATGGCTCAAGCAGTCTCCCTCTTATTTTGGTGAGTTATTCAAATTCCACATGCTGGGGCATTCAGACTATCTTTTGGCTGGTGCATTGCACATTCACAAATATATGGTAATGAACCTGCAAGGCAGTTGGAGGAAGAGGGTGGAATTGGAAAAAAGTAGACTGAGAAAAAATGAAATGTTTCCGGATACTCTCCACTCCTTCGTTAGAGAGGAATATGGATTTGCACAGGTTAGTACAAACTTGAATCATCAGCGTCATACAGCAAGAGAGGTCAGGAGTGTCATGACCTGTTTGTCTATGGGTCTTAAAAGGATAATGATCAATTGACAGTCATAAGGCAATCAGTAAAATCATGATTATATTTGAATGTCTCCTAGTACCAGCATGTTTCATGCTAGGTACCAGAGCTCAGCAATAAAAATAAAAACTATAGTTCCACAAGCTGGTCCCTAAAAGTGACTTAAGATAAAAATATGTGGGGAAACACTGCCACATATATTCATTTTCTTGTTTGTTTTGGGTCTATCCCCAGCTGTCCTCAGGGCTTACTCCTAGTACTACAGTCAAGGACCACTCCTGGCTGGTTTGGGGAACCATATGGGGTAATGGGGATTGAACATGGACCAGCCATAAGCAACATAAGAGCCTTAATCCCTTTATTATCTATCTAGTCCCTTGAAAGAACTTTTACTAATATTGTTTACTATATTAAAAAGTAGTCTGCCAATCTTTAGGAGGTTTTCATTATATGCCTTTATCTTTTAAAAAGTGCTACTTTGTAATTAATTTTAAAATAGATCTAATAATAAAATGAAGCTGAATATTTGTGCCTTTCAAAAATTCCCTCAGGTTATGAGTTATAGTGGAGATGTATGCTTTATAAGTAGCACAAAGAAGGTAAGTCCTTATTGTCCACCGTCTAGGTTAAAAACTCTGGACCCATCACATTGGAGTAATCCCAAGAAGGAATAGAGGAGGTAAGCCTTAGTATTACCCCAGTTTATTTCTTAACAGATTTTTCAAATCCATATATCAGGAAGCAGAAACTCAGAGCCAGGTAGAGTTCCTGTGTTGAAAAGACAACTAAGAGACTAAAGAAACAAGAGGACTGCCTAGAGCTTAAAGGACAGCACACCAGAAATGTGACAAATCACAGATCTCAGACATCTGTAGGCATCAAGCATCTTACCCATGGTGATCAGTATGTGCAAAAATCACCTTCCACCAGGGAAAAGACCAGAAAAAAGAAACAAGTATATTGCACTCATATATGGTCAAGAACAGTATTTTATTTCACATCCAGACTGGAAAACTTAATAATTCATGGGACATTGAGTACTCAGAATGTCTTGCAGGGCATAATTAGCACTAGGTCAAACATGGCTTTGGTTCTGTCTAACACATTTTAAGACCCAAAGGATCAAATGGATTCCAAGTAATTAAATTGCTTCCATAATGAAAGTCATAAATATGTAAAAGGATACAAAAATATCTAGTATCCAATAAGATAAAAATTTTAATGTCTGGAGTTGGTTTTTAAAAATGAACCTTACCAGGAATAAAAAGAAACCAAAAAGTATAGCTCATACTGAAAATAAAAACCAAACAGGCAACAGAACATAGAAAAGGCACTTAAAATAGTTACTATAACTATATACCATATGTTCAAAAAGTTATGCACACAAAAGAGAAATTTCTAGCCCAGAGAATTTAACTGGTGAATGCCATCAAACATTTAAAGAAAAAAAATGACATCAATTTTATACAATTTCTTCCAGGAAATAGAATAGAGCTATCATTTCTCAATTCAATGCATGAGGCCACTCATAACCAAACCACACAAAGATGCTATAAGAAAAGGATACCACAGGCATCTTTAATGAACAGATATAAAAAAGAATCCTCAAACAAAACACTGACAAATCGAATCCAGTTACTTAGATAAAGAATAATATAACATGACTAACTAAAACTTATCCCAGAAATACAAGACTGGCTCTTTGTTTGAAAACAATTAATGTTATCCATCATAACAGTTGAAGGAAGAACAACCACTTGATTAAATTAACTGAAGCTGAAAGAAGCATGACAGAATTCAACAGCCATTTATGATAATATATCTCAGCAATTTTGGACAAGAAGAGAGCTTCTTCAGTGAATAAAGAGCATTAACAAAAATCCTATAACCAAGCAATCCCCCTTAGTTGTAAGAAACTGAGTTCCTTCTTCCATCAGACTGCGACTAAGGCAAGGACACCTATTCATAGCACATTTATTCAACAATGTGTTTAATACTGTCACTAGCACATTCACATCATGAAAGTAAATAAGTAGTCTACAAATTGAAAAGGGAGATATAATACTATTATTGTCTACAAATGACATGATAGTTTACACAGAAAATTCAAAATTTCTCTGAAGTAATAGTTTGGCAGGTTTATAAATATACTCGAATGACATTAAAATAAACCATGAATATACAGCATGGGAAATCATTAATAGAATTGTATATCACAGAATCTCAAATAATAAAGAAAAAAATACAGGAATATTCATTTGGAAATTTAAAAAAGACACTATTTGGAAAAGCTGCTGAAAATTTTAAAAGTGTAATTAAAATGCATAGACTAAAATACATAGGCTATGTATACAAAAACAAAGACTGATGAACAAAATCAAAGATCAAAGTAAATGGAGAGAACATGAAATGCTGAAAGATTGAATTGACAAAATATATTAAAGATCACTGTCACTGTCACTGTCCTCCCGTTGTTCGTGGATTTGCTCGAGCGGGCCTAGTAACATCTCCATTGTGACACTTGTTACTGTGTTTGGCATATCAAATACGTCACGGGGAGCTTGCCAGGCTTTGCTGTGCGGGCAAGATACTCAGTAGCTTGCCGGGCTCTCCGAGAGGGGCAGAGGAATCCAATTCGGGTCGGCCATGTTGGCCGCTTGCAAGGCAAATGCCCTACCCACTGTACTGTCGCTCCAGCCCATATTAAAGATATTCCATGTTAATATGAAAATTTACACAATATAATCTATAAACTTTTTGATTGTCATTTGGGCCATACTCACAAGTGCTGGGGACTTACTCCTGGCCTTGGGCTCAGGGATCACTCCAGGTGGGGCACAGGAACTGTATGGGGTGCCAGAGATAGAATCTGAGTTGACTGAGTGCAAGACAAGTGCCCT